CGAGGCTTCTGATATCAGCATTGTTCAGTGGTTGGATTTGATAAAGAACTGTCAAACACAACTAGAGAAAGGTCAGAATGTTTGTTACTCGCTTTAGCTATCCAGCATCACTAGGGTGTTGGGCAGCTGGCGTCTATCCCCAGCAGTCATCTGGGGAGAAGCAGGAGACGCTCTGGACAAGTTGCCAGTGGATTGCAGGGCCAAATGGACAAAAACAGCCAGTCATACACTCACTGATACTGAGGGACCATTTAGGGTTGCAGACTAACCCAAGATGCATGTTTTTGAATTGTGGGGTACCCGGAGAAAACCTAGAAATGCATTGGGAGAACATGCTGAAAGGCCAAAGCCAGGATTCAAACCTGCAAAACTACTGCAATAGGTTCAAAGGTAACAGTGTTACAAATATCAGAAACATACATGAAACAATTATTTATTTAGCTGTTTATGCATGTTTGCATATGTGTTAGATCACTAGGCACATTTTAAAGAATCATTAAAAAAATAATCTCTACAAGTGCATCCAACATTTACATCCTCTGTGATTCAAGATGGCCACCAAAGCTACTCATCATCAGAAAATGCAAAAATGGCTACAACTCTATTTTATAGACCTTGAAACAAATATCTATTGTGGTAACTCTGAGCCATTTCCAACACATACTACAGTTGCTACAAAGCAAGCAGAATCTGACTGATGGAGTCTTGAGCTGCAAGGTAGTGCAGGTGATAGTGTCGTTTGAATGTCGTTCTCATACATGTTGTTTCCTTATACATGTCAACATGTGCACATTAGGCTGATTGGCAGTGCTTTTGCTGCAGTCACACTGGAGCCAAAAGTGGCCAAAATATGACTTTTTGCCCACATGGGATGTTTGTAACAGTCTACTGTATATACAGCACAAATCTACTTCCTGTAAATCTGAGCCTAGTTTACTCTCACGTGCAGTCCCAAATCAGATCCATACCATCTTTTTTTTAAACCCAAACTCAGTTTAAACAGTCATGTCACATTTCATCAGATATTTACATCACAGAAGGGTGACAGATATCACAATTCTGCACCTTAGGAGGCAGGACATAGCACGGTTACAAGAGTTGTGTGTGAGGACCCTAGTTTACATCTGTTATCACAGCATGTTACATTTGACACCTATTCTTCTTCTGTACATTCATCTCACTTCAGGGCTACTGACCAATCACACTGCAGTCTGATGATGGTCACGTTCATTTTAGAACAATTCTTAGAATTGAGAACTGCAGTTGGAACATAGACTAAGTTGGTACTTGGTCTCAGTCTGCTTGAACGGTTGTCTGTCTGGTTCATCTCTAAGGTGATGTGATGCACTGGCAACCAGTCCAGGTTGTATCCTATCCCTCATCCAATGACAGCTAGAAATAGGCACCGAGTTCTGTAAATCAGAACTGGAGGAAGCAGTTAAAGACAATGGTTGAGTGTTGTTAAATCTAACTGGATATTAGCAAAATACCTCATGAGCTGCTGGTTATATTCTCAGAAAGCACAAATGAGTGTATAACTACTTTTGATTAACTTCTGAATCCAAGCTCATTCAAGAAGTTGGCAACAAAATGTATCTAAAACACAACAGATAGTGAAATATAACCAGGTGTTGGGAGTAGTTGAGACTTTTAAGGCTGATCTCTACTTCTCCATCAGCACGAGGGTGAAGTCACGCAGATGTATTGACAGAGATGTTTTCTTTTCAGACGTCTCCGTCACATGGGAAGTGTTGCTAAGCAATTCCCCACCAGGACAACAGAGGGCATATCACTTTTTTGTGGTATCCTGTCATCATTACAGACACGTATGCAATCCACAATAGACAATTTTCTTTATATTGTGTTTATGTATTTCTTTTTACCACCGATTAATTTGGCACACATTCTCCTCCACATCTTCCTGCGGTCGCCACCTCTAAACCCACATTTCCATCCATTGCTGCAAATCTGTGTACTCCGTCAGTCACGAGTGGATAAAAGTTCAAATTTTCAAACTTCTCCTGCAAGACCTTCTCCAATCTGCTCTGTTTGTTACTAGATATGTTTGGCTTTCTTTTGATTTCGTGAGGGGGCGGCGGTGGTGCTGTTGACAAAGTTAATGGAAGCTGCGTTCTGACCAATAAGAAGCTTGCGGCTTTACACAACAAATAGTGCAAGTACTAACTGATTACATGAAAGTTGGCCAAAACGACAATAACTAAATATAAGATGATCAGTTAAAGGGGACATATTATGATTTTTTATCTTATAGAGCAAGTCACCCCCAAATCAAATGTTTTTGCTGGTAAATAAACGAGTGTCTAACCATGCTGTTAACATGTGTAGTCAATAATTTGGCACTTAAGTGCATCTTTGTTAAAATTTAAATATTCTGCCTAAAATGTCAGTGTTGCACCATCATCAGGTCAAAACTTTGAGTAGCATTTGAATTTAAATCTGCCATTGCTATTGGCTAAGAGGTACACTATGACGTTAGCTGGTACATTATGATGTCACAATTAGGGATGAGCGAGTACACCACTATCTGTATCTGTATCTGTATCTGTTCAACCATCTAAATTATCTGTATCTGTATCTGTACTCTGAGTGGGCGTGGCCTAACCCGGAAGTGGGTGTGGTTTAACCGGAAGTGGGTGTTGTTTACATCAATACGTTATTTTAAGTCTGATTAGAAGTTGCTATGTGTATTGTTTATTTGAAAACTATTTACAGAGCAGCCTCAGAGTTGAGATTAATTGTTTTTGATCACAATAGTAAAGGAACTATGACAGAACAAGTTTTTCAATAAGATCAGAACATTAATATTTAAGTGCATGAATTAAGAGAGAGAAGAAAATATATTTTATATAGCTCCTCTCAAGATAAAAATCATGAGGCGCTTCACAAAAACAAAACATGTAAAATAGAAAAAAGAATTTAGAAATTGATTAAAATATATTTAAAATGAGCAAAAAATAGACAATTGTGATTAAAAAATGTAAAGAAAGAGAGAGAGTGAATAGGAATGAGGGAGTGGATCCTGAGGAAGAGGAGAGAGAGAGGAGAAAAAAAAAAACCCGACCGGAGCGGAGGCACTGACTGACGCAGCACGAGCTGTTTTCAGCTCTGTCTTGTCAAATGCACCACGTACGTTACGAAAAAAGTAACTTTAAATAACTTTAAAGTAACTTTAAAAAGAAGCAAACTGAAGAAATCATAGGGAGTACTGAAGAAACGTGAACAGTGAAGCAAGCACAGAGAGATCTGTTACTGTCTGTGTGTGTGCGTGGATGGACCAGACGCGGACTGAGCAGTGAGCTCCCGGCTGCAGAGTTTTGTGTGTAGGGAAGGGTGGGTGCTCTATGTGACTGGCCAATCACAGAGCGTGAAGACAGTCAGTTACCCAATGAAGATTTTCCTTCAGCACGATTACAGATATTTACGAGTTTTACTCGTTTCATGCTCGTACTCATCAAAAATGCTGCATCCATACCGTATACTCATCTGAAACGAGTATACGGCTCATCCCTAGTCACAATGTCGTTAAGAGCCTGTGTGTGCATTTGTTAGCGGCTCCACCCTCTTGGTCTGCCAGACAACAGTATTTGTTGCATTTTTCAAAAAAGAAGTGGGAGTGGAGTAAGACTCTGGAAGGGGGTGACTTGCTCTTTAAATTATATTAGTAGCAGAGGTAGTAGTAGTATATAAGGTCGATACCAGTCATATTCATGAAGTTCCTCTCAGAAACAGCTGTTTCAGCAGTTTTGTTCTTGCACCTTATAGAAGGAGCCGTTTGGGAGATGGGTGAGGTCATTTCCTTTATGGAGTATCTTTGGAGTACATAGATGTTTCCTTTGATATAGAAGAATATGACTCAATGTTTCAATACTATGCATTCTTCCATGAAAACAAGAAACATACAAACTAGATAAATAAAACTATCATTTTTAGATTAAAGTCTAGTAAAATTGAGCGGTTTTATTTGGGGAAAGAAACATACTGGCATTAGATGACTTCAATGCCACACTAGCACTGCTCATCTTAGTTGAGCATTGTAAATAAAGATGCCAGAACAAAATCACAGCAAGAGTTCTATGATTATCAGGATGTTAAAGGTCAGCAGTAGATTAACCAAAAGATCCACTGTAATGCTGTTAAGTGACACATAAAAGGTGATAAAATGATTTAATATATGCAAAGTCACTATGACTACAATTAGAACGTGTCAGCATTTCCCTTTAGCTGTCAACTTTAGTATGGTACTACAGACACAAAACAGATAAAACGTGTCAAGTGCTTCACTTCAGCAAAGCAGGTGTACTGCGCCACTACCAATACTTTGTCACAGAAGGAAAAAAAAATGAACAAGTGCATCTGAAACCATTGATGGGTTTGAGATCATTCCCTTTCACACTCTTCTGCCACAATCTGACGAGGAAGCATGAGGTGAGAGAAAGAGAGAATGGGGGGAAGGGTCCAAAAACAGAAAGCTAGAGGGAGATTGAGATGTGCAACGCCAGCCAAAACTTTTTCAATTTCACCGACAATTTCCTGTGTAATTACTGATGTGGTGTGATGGTGTTTTAATGGCAGGGACCTGCCAGTGACAGAGGCATTGTGTGTGTGTGTGTGTGTGTGTGTGTGTGTGTGTGTGTGTGTGTGTGTGTGTGTGTGTGTGTGTATCTCGCTGGGCCTGTTGATGATGCTACAATGATGAAATGGAGCACTGCTGTGGAGATTAGACATGTCTACCCCCCCCCCCCCCACACACACACACACACTTTCAGTTTACACTCAGACACACACACACACACACACACACACACACACACACACACACACACACACACACACACACACACACACAGATCTCCAACCAGATGCACACTTATGCACCTCCCCCTGCATACATCACCTTCAACCCCGCACATATGAACTCATGATCATCAGTGCCACTATGGTGGCCATCAGCAGCCGTTTGCAGACCAATGAGCCGGTACCTGTAGTCGCACCAGGGGCAGCGGTACGGTTTCTCTCCAGTGTGAACGCGCTTGTGCCGTGAAAGGTGGGACTGCGTAGTGGAGGCAAAGTTGCAGATCTTACATTTGAAGGGTCTCTCTCCTGTGGAGTGGAACGAGACATTGATGTGAGCAGAAAAACACACAGACAAAATGCTACAACAGATGAAATTGTGCATCCTTCAGCCAGCTTTACAAACTGCCTGCAACAAAATAATGACTTCTTGAAGAAGTTTTGGGATCAGTTTTTGGCAAAGAAATTGTAACCAAGTTACATAAAAAAAAATCTAAAGCTTCTCTTTACGTGGATGAAACCACCATTTTTAAGGAAATCGTTGGGAACTTGGAAGATAATAATTATTATAATTCTGTATGTAGAATGTTACATGTAGGTGGCAAATCAAGCTGAGCAGCTGCCAGGAACACTTACCAATTTATTCAGAACTCAGACTTCTTATCTTTGCTTCCAGTGTGAAACACTTGCAGTAGTAGAATTTGCGAAAATATGAATAAATCTACAAATTAATCTAATAATAAAGACTTACAGGCATAGTGCAGAATAAAAAGCTCAATGTGCTTTAAAATAGCAAAACCCCAAAATATCACAGTCGTGTCTAAGTACCTTCAATGATTTTAAGTCATAGAAAAGAGAACAATTGACAGAATAGATTCAAATGAAAATAACTGTAAAATAAAGCATAAAAAGGTAAACATCCAAAAAATGTAAATAAAACTACTGATTCTACATTAAATATGTGCAATTTTTTCCTTGTGAACATTATTAAGCAGTAGTAGGGGTGTAACGATACAAGGATTCCCATTTAGACTTTTAGGTATGGCACTTTTGTCCCACATGAAAGTGTAACTATGTTAGCCTGGCTACCCAACGTAACGTCACCTCTACGGATGTCAGTCAACAGGGCTGTGCGCCATACACCATTAAAGACAACACAAATGCATCCTTTTTCTAAATAAAGAATTTAAGTACCTCTATCTGCTCTTAACTCAAAGAAAAGCCAGTCTAGTCAAACAAGCCACCACCATCTTAGTTGTTGCGCTCTGTTGCATTGTCCCACCCATCAAACTGATGGAGTGCTGTGACTGGACAAACACAAATCTGATTGAGACAATGGTAAACCTGCTGAGGCTACAATGGACAAGGCCGGATTATAATATGGGCAAACTGGGTACAGGCCCAGGGGCCCACAGCCACAAGGGGGCCCACGCAAGCAGCAGTCTTTTTTTTTTTATATGTGCAGCAGTCTTAACGTTGGAGAAAAATGTTGACAAGAAATTAAAATTGCGCCCACATTTTCTAAGTTAACACACATTTCTTTTAGCAACGGTAGTTTCTGCATCCTGCTTCAGCCCTCTCCCCCCTCCCCCTGCGCAGCGGCCGCAAACTCACTGATGCACCTGCAGCCTCTCAGAGTTCCTGCTGCTCTAAACATGGAAAGAATCATTTAATTTTCTGTTCCTCACTTCTAATTACCTTCAGTGGTGTCTGTTTGTTGCAACAACCAGGTACAAAAACGAACTTGTTTTTATTTGACTATATTTCTGTCCTGTCTGTATATTATCTTCCTGCATCTCCTCTCAGTCCTAAAGAAAAACTGCTGCCTGGCTTCATATATATTCACCTCGTGAGTTACCTTTGGACTGCAGTTCTAAAAGATTTACCGACCGCAACAATAGCAGAGTGCGCGCTGCGCGCCGGCCGCACCGGTGAGGTGCGAAACCGGAGGACGAAACAGGTGATGCACTCCGTTCCGCAGCAGCAAAACGCATCAGGCACAAATAAAAGACAGAAAATATAAAAGGACATGAACCGACATAAACGATCACATGTTAAATTTGTTTTTAAGGTGGCGACACTTTGAGAATGTTACTGTGGCCGTTCTCAGGACGCATCTGTCAGGAGCGCATCAACGATCAGAGCTCTGCACCTCTCAGCTCTAAATAATCCCAGCAGAGTCCACATGAATAATGTAATATAAATAGAACCAGGATCGTTTTCGGGCTAAAAATAGTCTACAGTCCATCTTCCCTAATGTGTTTGTGGCCCTGCAGATTTTTCCTAACTCTACCTGCACTTCTTATATGTACCTCTCACCGTTCATAAGGGTACCGCACCATCAGCTACGTCAGCCCAGACAAGAGCAGAGAAAAAAGAGACAGAATAGAGGATAATTCTGTCTGGATGTGGATGGAGATTACATTTTACAGCAGCCTGATCATCATTTAAATACATAAACCATCACCTGGCTTCTAGTTCACGCTATCACCATTATTTTAATTGGCGTGTGAGCGTGTGTGTTTGCGTGTGTGTGTGTGTGTGTGTGTGTGTGTGTGTGTGTGTGTGTGTGTGTGTGTGTGTGTGTGTGTGTATTTCAAACACTGGTCTAACCAACCAGACCAGCGTGTCCAGTAACACATTAATGTTACAATTAAACAGTTTCACTCCATGTAGGCTAGGAACGTTTCACCTGCCGTGGCCCGACCGCTTCTGCTCCACATAAACTTTGTGCGTGATCAAATGTCTCTACAGGTGCTTTCTGAGCTGAAGAGGCTATTCTGCCTCAGACAGACTGGATGCTTCACGCGTCTCCATATTAGAGACGGGAACAAGCGCTATTCAGCCAAAGTTTCGTAATCAGAGAACATTTTTCCAAGTGACAGATCCCTCAGAGAGACCGGGTTTCCAGACTGCTTCAACAGGAGGAAATCTTATCGCTGTGGTTATGTGCTGCGCTGCAAACCACTCTACAGATCTTCAGCTCATTGTCCATCATGTGCGCTGCGAGCTGCGCTGAGCACAGTGTCCAGTATAAAGCTCTGATGTTCTGACGGGAATCTTTTCTTGATTGATTTAGTTACCTCCGCAATGTGCGTGATGATTAAAATGTCAGCTCATCAGTGTGCGTCGGGGTAATTCTTTCAAAACAACCAACACCCTTCAGTTTATCCATCAAAATAAACAGTCAAATGGAAATATCTGTAACCTGCCATTTAACTGCTTTCCTTCTTGTGAAGATTGTTGCAAAGAGAAACAATTAAACTTGATTCACCCCAGAGCCATGCGCACTGCGCTGTACTCCGTGACTGTAAATGAGGGGAAAAACGATTTTATCGGATCCTTTTCTTACCTTTTCAAAATGTAAAAATTTCATTGAGTACAAACTTTAGTTGCATCAATCTAAGGAGACAGAGCCTGGATTTGTATTCTGAACAGTTTAAACATGTTTAAAATGGAGATACGCGTGACATGTCTTAAAATTCACACCTGATCAACTATTATGGGAATTAAACTAACAAGATGAATAACAAACAATTATTTTAGGCACAGACAACATCCCCCACACTTTTGAAAAGCTTGCAACGCGCCTGCTACCAGTTACAAATTGTGAAGGGGAACAATTTTCACAAATGGCAAGAATAAAAACTGAACTGAAAACAACACAAACTCAACAGTGCCTTTCTGCACTGTCACTGATGGCAATTGAATCTCAGCTTGTCAGGAATCTGGACTTTGATGACATTGTAAATGAATTTACTAATAGAAATGCCAGAAAGCAGTTTTTCTGAAGGCAAGAGAGGAGACCAACAAGAGGGGAAAAAAGAATACGAAGGAGCCAGGAGTCAAGAGGAGAAAGGAGCCAGGAGTCAAGAGGAGGGAGACAGGAGACAAGACTTGGAAGGAAACAGGAGACAAGATGAGGAAGGAAACAGGAGACAAGAGGAGGAAGGAGACAGGAGACAATCAAAAACATGCAGATATTTCATCTTTGCAAACTTTTCAATACATGTATAATCTTTTAAATAATCTGCATTACTTTCTGTTGTAGTTTGACAGTGAGATCTCTTTTACAGCTGACTCTTGCCCCCACTGTCCCACAGATTGACAACATTTTTGTTAATAGAGACAGAAGAGAAGACATGAGTGCTGTGAGGAAGAGAGAGACGGAAAAAGAGGAGAAAAGAGAGAGGACAGAGAAAGCAAGACATATAAGTGAGGCACAACCGGAAATGCATCAGGTATGAGTGTTTGTGATTGGGGTGGGGTGGGGGGTAAGCACATTGTGCCCAGGGGCCCCTGCAATGATAATCCGGCCCTGACAATGGAGCATGGCTAGGCTGACATGCAGAGCAAAAAACATTTTGGTTTACCTACTGTCTGTCTAGATTTCTAGGCTATAACGGTGTTGCTCTCAAGCTAGCAACACAAGCAGCTGTGTCCAAATGCAAGGGCTGCATCTTCCAGTGGACCCGTCTAACCCGGTCCACGTATGATTGTGTTGGTAGGTACCAGATACCAGGTTCTTGGTTGACGGAGAAGTGAATGCCTATGAAAGTATGGTCTAGCCTTGAGTTTATTTCCCACCTTTTCCATAGCATATGTCCTATTGCCTAGCAACCTTGACCATGCTTAACAGGAGTTGGAACCAAACTTATCACCATATGAGCTACCTCTGTTCCCATGAGAGCATATTTCCTACAGCAGACAAAACCCATAAAAGTTTGACGAACCTGAACAAGGCTATAAACTGGAACTACTAATATGTCACCAAAGATTTTTATTTTCCCCACTTTTTCCCCCCACTATACCGAAAATGAACCAAACCTTGACATTAAAACAAGCTACGTACTGAACTGGGATTACAGGCGTAATGTTACACCCCTGAGGAGAGGAACCAGTTCTGGTATCCCATTCATGACTCTGTCACATAGGAGGTTAGTGTTCACGTATCTAAGTATACATGAAAACCTTTGACTTGATAGGCAACACATTGCCATGACCTTTGGTAGTGATGTGTATTATAATACAAAAAAAGTCAACCTCAAGTTTTACTCATGCTGAATGGGGACTTGGACCAGTGGAGTTAAAGCCTGATTCCTCTGCTTTTGTGCTGAAAAGGTCCCTGCTTGTGTTCTGACTTACCTGTTGACTGTGTTTGGCTCTAAGGGCTAATAAAAACAGTTGTCTCTCACTTTCTTTGGTAGTTTTTTTGTTTCCTTTGAACTTTTCTGTAAGTCCCATAAAAGTCGGTGTTGGTGGCTTTTCTTCTTTCTTTCGCCAGAAAAAAAAAACGCTGGTGTTTGTAGCGACCTCAATCAAATTCTGCTAAGAAAATACTGTCAAATCTGATGTCATTCGGTATTCGGCTAAATTAGTGGAACTGACACATGTCAACGCAGCAGAGGAGGACAGAAATTGGAGGTTTCAGGAAGAAATGGCAGAAAATCTGAGGAGCAAACTGAATGAATTATGAAAAGCCAAATGAATATTTATAACAGTATTCTTGATCGCTGGTCGCCTGCCAGACAACAGTTAAGAAATGTGTTTGTTTCACTATATCCTCCTCCTCCCAACAAAAAAAAGGAAGAAAAAGTACTTTTTATTGACAGCCCATCTGAAAAATGCAATTTCCCTAAGCGACAGAATGACATGGTGAAATGATAACTGAAATTAAAAATCTCAGATTCAGTCAGCCATCCTCGTACACATGCCCGTCACCGTCAGCTGAGTGTCACACTCGTGTGCTCGTGTGTGTGTGTGTGAGACACAGCAAACAGTCGCATAAACCAGATGGTAGCTCAAATCTGAGAGTGTCAATCACTTTCCAGGATTAGCAAAGTCTACACATACAAGAGCTGGTTTGTGCTTTCATCAAGTTTACAGAAAGAGTTCAGGAGAAGTGTGTTTCTGCTCACCTGTGTGTTGACGCCTGTGTTTGGTCAGGGCGTGTCTGGTGCCTCCTGCAAATCCACACAGGTCACAAAGGTAGGACTTCTCTCCTACAGAGAAGGAGGAGAGAAAAAGTCCAGAGAATTAAGAGAAACACCTAATCAAAAAGCTAAATTGACCTTAGAAACTTTTATGAATCTGTTCTTTTGATTCTTAACGAACAAGTGACAGATCAAAACAGAAGAAGGTCTGATTTACCTCCAACCTTTAAGAAGAAAAATTACATTGAATAACATTGATTTTTTTTTCATTGAAACAATAAAATATCAGGTTTGTTTACCGCAGTGTGAAATAATGAAAGTCAACAACATGTTAAAAACTGAATTTGCAGTAAAACAGGAAATGTTGACTTTCTTTAATGAGTGGATGTGACCAACCATACCAACCTAACCATAAACTGTACATGAAGAGGTAGTTTGCAACTTTTATAAAAGGTTTAAAAAGTGCATCTTTTTTATTATTTACTTCATGCGGTACAGTCAATAATACGTTTAGTATTATTATTATTATTATTATTATTTTATTATTGTGAAAATAGCTTTCACATGTTTTCGGCAATGAGATTTTCAAATATTAAAACGCTCCGTCTTCTTTTCTTGGTAAAAAAGTGAGGCCACGACACGTGATCCAGTTTTAAGGCTCAGCCATGTTGGGTTTTTGGAGCTGGAGTCTCATAAATCAACAAAGCAAAAAAAAAAAAAATAAATAAATAAATAAACAAATAAATAAATAAATAAATAAATAAAGTGTTTTTAGGTTTTAAGAAGAGCAGTGTTCCATTTGTTTACATGGAGGAGATGGGTCTTAAAACTTGTACTGGAGACAGTTAGGGAGCTATTTATATTAGGGATGAACAATATATCTGCATCAATATCAGTATCGGCTGATGTTAATAATTTTTTAACATATCGGTATCTGTCCGATTAATAAAACTGGGCCAATGTTAACAATGAATATTTTTTCCATCTTGTTTCCATTTGTTTATTCGTTTCAGAGGGTGAGGGGGTGATGCCAGGGCCAGATTAAGACTTCGTTGTACCCTGGGCAACAATATTCAAGGGCTCCATCATCACGACCCAAGGATCACCATAATATGGTCGCATACAGAATATTTTACTGTAATATGTAGTAAATATACTCAATCCTTGAATGTCTGACTTCACGTAACCCGCTCAGGGCAACTTTCATCCACCTTGTGTGGACTGACCAATGAGGAGAGAGTCGTAACTTGAGGCCCTCTCTTCACTGGTCAGTCTGCATGAGACTGACTCTCAACTGACGTTCAAAGTCATAGACAGCGAAGCGTCTCTGTGCAGCGCAAAAGCCCGGGTGGACAGTTTGTTTAATACAGGGTGACCATATTTCCATTTCCAAACAAGAGGACAGGGGATCTGTGCCTATGACATCACACTATGGCAACGCCGCACAACGCTGGGACCCATTTTTTTCTAAGAACTAAATTAATATCAGATTCTGCCAATAAAAGGGCTCTAAAACAATTCATATGTAAATATTTTGCATATTTACTGCAAAATCTCATTTTTCTGCTTTAGTGATGCATAATAATAAATTATAACTTTTGTTTTACTACAGCATCGGTACGCTTCCTGTGCACAGATTATCAAGGATGCTTGTTTCAGATGTGAGATTAGACGATAGGATCAATGAAAAAATAAGTTGTCACACTGGAAACTTTCAGAGAATCCACAAATAGTGGCTTTCAAATGGTTTTGTTACTTTTTGCAAGTTTAGAAAAGCAGCAGATGAGACAGTATGTCTGATAATTTAGTTTTTCATCTGATAATATTAGAACATGTCAGTAATGTCTGAGGGGCTTTTATAAACACTGTATAACTAATACTCCTGGAGAAGATATGAATTACACAGAGGCTTCTGGGGAGCCCAGCTATGGGGGTGGGGTGGTGGTGGTGGTGGGGGGGGGGGCATTTTGCCTTGGCCCCCAAAATGTCTTGAAACGGCCGAAACGGCCCTGGGTGTGTGACTGAGTTTTGAAGGTGATCTGAATTGTATCAGATGTATAAATATTACATGTGTATAACTTATTGTTTTGCAGGTAAAAACGTGTAGTGGAGATAAATCTATGTACATTTTACTTTTCAACACTTTGTTTTGTTGTTTTTATTTAACTATATTTTCCTGTCCTGTCTGTCTCTCATCTTCTCCTCTAAACTCTCCAGAAAATCTGCTGCCTGGATTCTTACTTTTTCACCTCATTGGTTACTTTTGAGTAGATCAAAGGAATCTTCTGACCGTGAAGCGGAGAGCGCGTTTCGATGCGTCAGTGAGGTGAAATCACCGCAGCACAGGTGATGAGCTCCGCAGTAGCGCGCTTCAGGCACAAATAAGACAGAAAGTAGAGAACATGTGCGGACATGAACGATCGTGTGTTAATTATAGTTTTTTTGGTTGCACCACTTTGAGAATGGACCGTGCGCTGGACGCAGCAGCCTGGAGCGCTGCGCACCGATCATCGCTCTGCCGCTCTCTGCTGAAAAGAGTCCATGAATGATAATATAGTAATATAGGTAGAAAACTTTTTTCCGGCTTCCCTGGATGTGTAGGATATACAGCTCCCCCATCCCTGCTCCTGGATGAAAAGCCGGACATTTTCATCAATACAAGAACCCGGACATCCAGGACAGAGTGAAAAGCGGACATGTCCGGGGAAAACAGGACGTACGGTCACACTAGTTTAATATAAAGCGGGAGATTACAGATACAGTAATTTGCTCGTGCCCTTGCTGCCCTGGGCCCTTTAGAGTTTGTGGGCCCTGGGCAATTGCCCAGTTGCCCATATGGTTAATCCGGCCATGGGTGATGCATATTTCTTTAGTCACATGACAGTGACTGTAATATAGTGTAAATGTGTGTGGGGTGTGTGTACATAATAACGTACATTCGGCTTTAATAATTTTCATTGTATACAAAATCTGCTGATTTTAGAACCATTAATGTCAGTTTATTGACAAATATTGGCTATCGGCCATAACAGTGATAATAATATCGAATATCTTATTGGCCCAAACATTTTATATTGTTGCATCACTAATCTATAGATCATAGGTTTCCCTAAAAAATCATTTGTGACAACAGAAGCAAATACAATTCATTTAGAAAAGTGAGCGGTTGTTCTCACTTTTAGCTAATTCTGCCACATGTAAACAACTAAACTAAAAGATGGTATGAGAAGAATGAGAAGTTGAGCTATAAAAATTATGATCGTAGAAAAGAATAGAAAAAATATTATTATGAAAAAGTTAATTTCTTTCAGTAATTCCACTTTAAGGTGAAACTAATATGTGACATAGAGTTACTACAGAGCCATGTATTTCAGCCTTTATTTGTTATAACTGTGATGATTGTGGCTTACAGCTGATGAAAGTCCCACATCCTAAATCTCAGACAATTAGAATATTGTTAAAAGGTTCAAAATTCTAGACTGAAAGTGTCACACTCTAATCAGGTAATGAATCCAGAACTCCTGCAAAGGGTTCCTGAGCCTTTAGAGGGTCTCTCAGTCTAAGATGGACTTTTGCACCATGTTCTCATTTTTTGAGTTTCACCTGTAAATGATTTAGATTTCCTTTAAATGCATTAAATAGGACTATTAGCCAAACCAAACAGAAGTACAACTGGTTTTACTCACATCTGACTCTCAAGCTCTGATGAAATTAGTGCTTAATTTTAAAGCTGCATCAACAATCCAAGATGCAATAAAATAAAACATCTGCGATCTCAATCCCCACAGGGTGCTTTAGAGGAAGGTTTGTTGTGAATCTCAGAGTAAAGTACTTTTTCTCTTCCAGAACAACAACTGAGGTGCTTCAGAGCAAAAAGCTGGGCTCTCAAAGAGGAAGGAAATGTTGAGAGAGGGAAAAATGTGTAAAGTGGGAGCGAGGCACAAAGCGAGGAAAGAAAAGACAGACTGAACAGATGAGCGGAGGGCCTAGTTGGCTAACAGATGAGCCAAGCAGAAGTCACAGATCACTAGTGTATATCCATCACAGCTCTCATAGCTAACTAATTCCTCCAATCAGATGGATCCATGTAAATATGTCAAATGGGGGACGGGAAATTGCCAGTGTGGTTTATTGACTGTGATAAAATCTGAAAAGCACCGCTGAACATAATTACATACTTGTCAGAGCCATAAAAATTAGCTTTATTATCAATGGGATGGTTTTGTACAACTTCATTTGGGGGCGATGCCTTCCAGATGGGGAGCGTGGAGAGCTTTTTTACACTCCTCCTCTCGTCTCTGCATCTGGCTCCATCATTAACAGCATGATGGTCTCTCTTCTGCATCTCTCTGTCTTCCACACACACTGCAACACTTGTGGACAGACTCACACAGAGAAAGTCGTGCACACGCGTGCAGATTGGCCGCAGATGTGAATGCAAATCTATGCACAGACGCACCCAAACCTCATGTGACGAGCTACTGTTTCCTAAGTGCAAATGAGTGAAACCCCGTCCCAATGCTGGTGTTGTTGTTGTTGAACCCCAGCTCCTGCCACACACACACACACACACACACACACACACACACACACACACACACACACACACACACACGCACGCACGCGCGCACACACACACACACACACACACACACACACACACACACACACACACACACACACACACACACACACACACACACACACACACACACACACACACCAACAACCCGTCTGGGCGACTGTTACAGCTGGGTCTCCTCTTCAGCACAGTGAGCGGCTTTCAGTGAGTCCGCAGAGACAAAGCAGCTTCAAGTTTCCCTTATTACACCCATTTAAAGCCACTCGACTGTGAGAGTAGTTTTAATACGATGCCACTTAGAGGAGAGGAAAACAGACTTAAACAGGTACATTTGTTAGCCAATTTATATAGGTTCACTTTTCAGACCAAGTGTGGATGCCCTTAAAAGGAACAATGTTATTAGAATTTCAAAACGTATCCATTAAACAGGCTCTGCTTTGTTGTTTGTTACATAAAATTGCCTGTTTGAGTCCAGTACTCTAAAGAA